CAGTGGGTTGGTCTCTCAGGGTGCCGCATGGGTCTCCCTGGATACTCATCCCCTTCCATCTGGTTCAGGCTTGCCCCCTGCCCCTGCTCCCTCCTTTCCCCTAGATTTGAAGTCCCTTTCCATAAATTCAGAGGATGTAGACTAATTCTGAAAATAGAGCCATTTAGATAGAATAGAGCCTCTGACTTTGGTCTAAAGAAAATCAAGCAGCAGAAATTCTATCCCTTTAGTGTGTTGCCTCTGAGTTCTATGTTTAGAGCCTATCATGTCTGGAGAAATGGAGCTTGTGGGTCAGTGCTGTCCCCCTTCTGAGGAGGTGGCTATGAGCCAGGGCTTCCCTATAGAGCAAGAGGGTAATTGGCAACTGAGGGCGACTAAGTTGCTAGAAGGCTATGGAATAGTTTACTGTAGAAGACCTGATTGCCTGCTTCAGATCAGTATTTCCCAAAGTTATTCTGTGGGTTGCAGGTAGGTATCACAGAAGACAGCAGCAGACAGACCTGCTGGTAGGCCAGCAACAGAGAGGCTGAGTGTCTGGGGCTCTGCAGGCCTGCAGAGCTGGGTCCACCTCAGACACACACATTCATATTTCTCTCTCTCTCTCTTTCTCTCTCTCTCCTCTCTCTCTCTCTCTCTCTCTCTCTCTCTCTCTCTCTCTCTCTCTCTCTCTCTCAGCTCTTAACCCCTCTAGATTTTCCATCTGCAGCAACAAAATGGGCATAATAGTACCTACTTCCCAGGGAACTTAGGAGAATTGATTGCATGAAGACTGTGAAGAATATAACAAATGCTAAATGCTATTTCACATGGCTTTAAAATGGAATTATGACCAGGCGAGGTGGTGCACGCCTTTAATCCCAGCACTCGGGAGGCAGAGGCAGGCAGATCTCTGTGAGTTCAAGGCCAGCCTGGTCTACATAGTGAGTTCCAGGACAGCTGGGGCTACAGGGAGACCCTGTCTCAAAAAGACCAAAAAAAAAAAAAAAAATGGAATTATGACTGGGAAAGGAATCCTAGGTCATGGAAACTTGGCATATATAGGTTCCACAAAGCTAAGCAGACTTGTCATGAAGCTTCTCAGAGTTTATAATGTGTTGTTATGCCTTGGTAAATTCCAAGACTGGGAGCCTAGAACTGGACTAACAGATGACCCAATAGCTGGGTGTTCACAGGCTCCACCCACCTTCACATTCCCTGGTATTTTTCTCATGGCGGATCAGAAGCCTTGCAACGTATGGCTAAATCTGGGAGGGAACTTCCTGTCTCCCAGTTCCAGTTTCCTCATGAGCAACAAAAGAACCACATAAGATACGTTCTAAGGACTTTTCTGACACCGCTGATGTTCCCAGTCAGGAAGACAAAACTGCTCAAGAGTGGACGCCACATTGTTAAGGCCCAAGTCCTGTTTCTTGGGGAGAGATAGAGGCCCACCCCAGCTCCCCAACCAGGAGAGGACTTGTGCTCTGCGCAGAAATGGCCTCGTTAATTAATTAGTCTATCTGAAGGGTTACTTCCCAAACCTGCCCTGGACCAGACTCTCTGGGGTGAAGGAAGTGGAAGAGCTCTGTGCCCCCCTGGGTTAAGGAGTAACCTGTGCACAGTGGTATGTAATTGACTGAACTCCTGCAGAAGCCTTGGGCAAGAACTTAGGGAGGGAGAGCAGGCTGGGGTGGGTCTTGAGGCCACTTGTGTACTTCGTGCACTTGGATTGTGTGTGAGTCCTCCAGGTGTTCTGGGGGTGGTGGCAGTGCCACTGTGAGAACATGAATGCTTATCCTGCCTATACCGTGGCCGGTGCAAAGGTGCCTCTGCAGACAGCCTCATGTTGAGTCCAGAAAGCTTGTTGAGGGAGTTGTCTGAATGACTTTCAAGAGCTGCTTGTAAATCCAGTGGGCCAGGTGTGGTGGTGCATGCCTTTAATCCCAGCACTTGGGAGGCAGAGACGGGGGCATCTCTGTGAGTTCTAGGCCAGCCTGGTTTATATAGTGAGTTCCAGGACAGCTGGGGCTACAGGGAGACCCTGTCTCAAAAAGACCGAAAAAAAAAAAAAAAAAGTCCAGTGGGCACCAGGCTAATGAAATGGTTGACAGCACTTGTCACTTTGTTTTATGAATCAATGACTTCCCTAGTCACAGTGACAAAATACCTGACACAAGTAACTAAAGAAGGGTTTATTCTGGCACAGTTTGAAGGTACAGACGATCATGGCCAGGAAGACATGGTGGCAGGTGCTTGCGGCAGCTCGTCACCTTGTGTCCACCGTCAGGAAGCAGAGAGAGATAAATGCTGGTATTCAATTTGTTTTTCCTTTTTATTCAGTCTGGGACCCCAGCCCCATAGCATGGTTCTGCCCACATTTAGAGTGGGTCTTCTTACCTCAATTAACCCAATCTAAAATCTCCCTCAAAGACATGCCTAGAGGTTTGTTTCCTACGTGATTCTAGTTCCTGTCAGGTTGACAATGTTAACTATCACATCTTCCAAACGGTGGTTTATAGTGATGACTGAAAGCACGCAGCCTGAATCTGGAATGTGCCTGTTCACTGGGGGTAGGCAGGGTGTTTAATGTTTCTCTGTCTCAGTTTCCTTCTCTAGATAGTATGTGCCCATAGGACTGAGATGATCACATATCTTTTACATGCAAAGTATTTAGCAGAGTGCCAGGCACATCTACATTTACTGTTACTAATTTTCCTTCCTTCCTTCCTTCCTTCCTTCCTTCCTTCCTTCCTTCCTTCCTTCCTCCCTCCCTCCCTTCCTTTTTTTCTATTGTGTGTGTATTTTGCCTGTATGTAAGTGCATCCATGCATACAATGCCCACAAAGGCCAGAAGAGGGTGTCAGATCCGCTGGGACTGGAGTTACAGATGGTTGTTATCCACCATATGGGTACTGGGAACTGAACCCTGGTCCTCTGCAAGAGCAGCCAGTGCTCCTAACCACTGAGCAATCTCTCTAGCCTCACATTTTTCCTTTCTGTAACCTGTGCCAGGCCATGGAGTTCCCAAGAGCAGGGATGCAGCCCAAGGTGGAGGCATAGCTGGCTCAGTGTCTGCTGAGGGAACTCATGAAGGAAAGATGTGTATGAATGAAAGATGCATTTCAAGGGCTGAATTGTGTCATCCATCATAGGGCAGAGGAAAGTGGCCACAAGGGGGCCCCCTAGAGGAAGCAGAGAAAGTCTAGCAGGGCCTGATTACAAGTCTGTAATCCCTGCCTAGGCAGGTAGCTACCGAAAGTTCAAGGTCTGCCTGAGTTACAGAATGAGTTCAAAGCCAGTCTTAGTGAGACCCTGTCTCAAAATAAAAAGTAAAAAGCAGGCTGGGGATGTAGCTCAGAGGCCAGTATGTAAGAAGCCCTGAGTCCAACCCCTGAGACAAGAGGGGGAATAAGAAGAGAAGGAAGTTGAGCAGGGTGTGACATAGATGGGGATGAGGGTAGGAGTGGGGTCTGGAGTTCGGGGTGAGGGAGTAAATTTGATTTATGTGGAATTAGGATCCCTGGGCACTAGGGAGGGAACTGGAGACCTGAGCGGGGCTGAGGAACTTGAGCTGTCTTATAGGACTGGCTCCTGACTGGAGACATTTTTTAGAAACAAAGTTGTTTTTTGAGTTGGTTCTTGAAGAGTATGAAATGCTTCTGGAATGCCATCATGTTGCTCGCTCTTTCAGCAGATACTGAGTACAAGCTACATGCCACACACTAGAGGTTCATAAAGTTCAGAGACAAACTGCCTAGCCCCTTGGGGCTCACAGTAACACAGTTTTAAAAAATATTTTATTTACGGGGCTGGAGAGATGGCTCAGCAGTTAAGAACACTGGTTATTCTTGCAGAGGATTGGGGTTTGGTTCCCAGCACCCACATGGCAGCTAACAATCATCCTAACTTCAGTTCCAGGGGATCTGACACCCTCTTCTGACCTCCTCCCGGCATTACATGACATAGGTGCACTTACATACATGCAGATGATACACTCATACACATAAAATTAAAAGAATAAAATACCAAATAATGTTTTATTTATTTTTACGTGTATGAGTGTTTTCCTTGCATGTATGTAAGTGCACCACATGGGTGCAGTACCTGTGGAGGCCAGAAGACGGCATTGGATCCCCTGGAACTGGAGTTTATGGACAGTTGTTGTCCACCATGTGGGTGCTGGGAATCAAACCCCTCATCCTCTGCAAGAACAGTCAGTACTCTTAACTGTTGAGCCATCTCTTCAGCCCCATAGTAACACTGTTAATACCCATGAGTAGTTTAACAGAGGATGGTCTGATGGTAGGCTCTCGGAAAGATCAGGAGAACGAGGAGCGCATCAAAAAATAGGTTTTGGTGCTAGAGAGATGGTTCAGTGGTTAAAAGCACCATATGCTTTTGCAGAGGACTCAGGTTTAAGTTTCAGCACCCAAATGGCTAACAACTGTCTGTAACTCCAGTTCCAGGGGCTCAAATGCCCTCTTCTGACCTCCTTGGGCATTGCACAACACAGGTGCACTTACACACATGCAGGCAATACATTCACACACATGTAAATAAAATATTTTTTAAAAAGATATAGGTTTGGGGGGGATGGATAAGAGTTTCCCAAGTAGGTAAGATGAACAGGATGTCTCAGCAGAGCTTGTGCAAGGCTCTGGACACTTGCAGCAGTGGCTACAGGAGTCTGGTGTGCTGTGGCTAAGCAGTTAGGCCTTAGAAGGAGGCAGGGACCAGATTGTGGAGAGGGAAGGGTCATTTGGAGCCCCTGGCAGCTCTGGATGGGATGTAGGTAGAGGAAGTGTGAACATTTACTGAGCACCTGCTGTGTGTCAAGCCCTGTTCTGGAAATACCAGGGAACCATCAGTGCCCTTGCTAAGCTCTTAGAATGATTCTTTCCACCTCAAATCCAGCCGAAGGACAGAGTACTGGAGGAGGAGGAAGACCCGGGCATTGGGCTCCAGGCCTTGAGATGGGGTAGAGATACAAAGCCCTGACTTCACCCTGATCTTTCTCCCAGTTTCCTGCCCAGGTCCCAGCCATGGCGATGGCAGTAGCCCAGAAGTTCAGCCACCTGCTGTCCAGCCTGTGGCACTTGGGCCAGAAGCCTCCGAAGCCAGAGCCTGTGTTCACAGTGGACAGAGCCGAGGTACCGCCTCTGTTCTGGAAGCCATACATCTATGCCGGCTACAGGCCGCTGCATCAGACGTGGTGCTTCTACTTCCGCACCCTGTTCCAGCGGCACAACGAGGCTGTGAACGTGTGGACCCACCTGCTGGCTGCCCTGGCACTGCTGCTGCGGCTGGCTGTCCTGGTGGGGAGCGTGGAATTCCGAGAAGACCCTCACGCCCTGCCCCTCTTCATCATCGTCCTGGCCTCCTTCACCTACCTCTCCTTCAGTGCCCTGGCTCACCTCCTGCAGGCCAAGTCGGAGTTCTGGCACTATAGCTTCTTCTTCTTGGACTACGTGGGCGTGGCTGTCTACCAGTTTGGCAGTGCCCTGGCACACTTCTACTATGCCATTGAGCCTGCCTGGCATGCCCAGGTGCAGGCCATGTTCCTACCCACAGCTGCCTTCTTGGCCTGGCTTTCCTGCACTGGCTCTTGCTACAACAAGTACAGCCAGAAGCCAGGGCTGCTAGGCCGCACTTGCCAGGAGGTGCCCTCTGCGCTGGCCTATGCACTGGACATCAGCCCTGTCATCCACCGGATCATGGTGTCCCCTCTCCCTGCCGAGGATGACCCGGCTCTTCTCTATCACAAGTGTCAGGTAGTTTTCTTCCTGCTGGCTGCTGCCTTCTTCTCTACCGTTATGCCTGAGCGCTGGTTCCCTGGCAGCTGCCATGTCTTCGGGCAGGGCCACCAAGTTTTCCATGTCTTCTTGGTGCTGTGCACACTGGCGCAACTGGAGGCTGTAACACTTGACTATCAGGCCCGGCGACCCATCTATGAGCCTCTGCATGCTCACTGGCCCCACAACTTCTCTGGCCTCTTCCTGCTCACTGTGGGCAGTAGCATCCTCACTGCCCTGCTCCTCAGTCAGCTGGTGAGGTGCAAACTCCATCAGAAGATCAAGTGAAAGTGGGGTGGGCGGCAGCTGGTGGGGTGGGAGGAAGAGTTGGGGGACAAAGGGCTAGGCTTGGCTTCAGATGGGGACAAGGCCTGGTAAAGCGGTTTACCTTTGGCCCACAGTGACTCCCGGCATATAGCTTCTCTCCCTTGGTGGTGCTAGCCCATCCTGGGATTTGGGGAATTGACCTGGAGCTTCAGGGTCCCTGCCTAGCTCCCTGTCTTGAGAGAGGAAGAGGAAAAGGCATGGGTCCCTCTGTCTGCTCCTCTCCTGCTTCCTAAGAGGGCAGAGGGTAGGGCTCAGCTTGGGTCAGGACCCTTGTTTGGGACTCTTGGGTTGTTGGGTAGGAGGTGAGACTTGGGCCAGTCACAGTTGAACTGAGAGGGAGGGGAGACCTCAGTAGCCACCCTCTACCAGATTCACTGGTGGAGGGGAAAGGGGCAGGCTCGAAGATGGGTAGCATTTTAATCTTACTGCCCCTTTGTACCCCAGCCTGAACTGCTGAGTCCCAGAGAGCCCCAAATGTAGAAGGTCCCCTCCACTACCCACATCCCTTCATCACTACCCCAGACAGTAAGCCCCACATCTAGTTTTGGCCCTATGTCCCACGCAGCTGTTTCCGGCTTCTCTCCTACAACCCTTATTTATGATTCCACAATATAGCTACTGAATTCAGTGTTTCCTAGTACTCTGCTAGGCCCCATGGATGAGTGCAAGAAGGCAAAGGCTTCCGTACCAGAATGAGCTGTCAAAGGAAGCTCCCTTGGTCTGGGAAGAGTGAATAGGACTTGAAGAGCATTCCAGGCAGAGGTGGGAAACCTGTGCAGAGGCCCAGAGATGCAGAAGGAGAGTTCAGTTGGGACTTGAAGTTAGCCCCATGTCTGGTCTCCGATACGTCCTAAACACAACAAAGTGACTATGGCAACAGCTGTCCCTGCCCCTGCTTTTTGTCTCCTGTTTCAGGAAGGGGCTCCTGTTCACAAGGTTTTCAAGAGGAAACTGAAGGGCACCGAGGGGTGGATCCTGTGGAATGGGAGCAGTTCCTGTTTTATTTTTACTAATTATGTATGTGTGTATATGTTTACGTATATACATATATAGTATTTCAAGGAATCATTTAGAAGTAGCTAAAATAATATTTAAAATATGAGAGTTGGGAATGTAGCTCAGTGGTAGAGTACCAGTCTGAGAAACTTAGAGAGACCCTGTCTCAAAATAAAGGAAAGGACTTAGGGATGTAACTCAGTTGTAGACCCTTTGCATGAAGCCCTAGATTCAATTCTCAGTACTGAAACAAGACAAAATAAAGACAAATGAATATGCACTGTCCCTCCACTGACAAAATATTATGGGGGTTATTGTGACATGTGCTAACAGATATTTTAATATATATGAAAATTTATAAGAAATACACACCCATACACACTGGTTAGGCATGGACGTTTGGGTGGGATGCCTACATTTTTTACACTTCCCAAGGACTTTCATAAGTGTTATCTCTCTTGATCATCATTAAAATCCAACATCCTACACCAAGGCCTGAAAGTCAATGGTTTCTAGTTTGGGGATTTTCTTTACAGTATTTTGTATATGCTGAAAACCATTTTTTTTTAAAGTTCAAATTTTATTAATTATTATTATTAGTGTGGGGGGTATGTGTGTATGGGTGTGTGTGTGCATGACATACATGCCACAGCTCGTGTGATCAGAGGACAGCTTTCAGCTCTCCTTCCACCACGGGTTTCTAGGATTGAATTCAGGCTATCAGCCTTACTTTTACACACTGATCCGTCCCCCTCGCCTGATTCTGTGTGTTTGGTTGTTTTGTTTTGAGGCAGGGTTTCATTATGTAGTCCCACTGGCCTAAAACTTGCTAAATAGATCAGGCTGGCCTTGAACTCAGAGATCTGCTTCTCAAGTGCTGGGATTAATCCCTGACTGGAAAGCCTTTTGAGGGGAGGATTTTGTTTGTTTGCTTGCTTAGGTTTTTAAAAATCTTTTAAAATTTTGTGTGTCTGTTTTTCCTGCATGTATGTAAGTACACCCGTGTCATGCAATGCCCTCAGAGATCAGAAGAGGGCATCAGATTCCCCTGGAACTGGAGTTACAGGTGGATGTTAGCTGTCATGTGGGTGCTGGGAATTGAACCTGGGTCCTCTGCATGAGCAGCCAGTGCTTTTAACCACTGAGCCATCTCTCCAGCCCCTGAGGGCCAGTTCTGGATTCTGTTTTTGGGTTTTTTTTTTCTTGTTCTCTTTGAGGCAGTGTCCCATGTATACTAGGTTGCCTGAGAACCCTCACTCTTCAGTATTCTAGCATGCCCTTGAACTTTGATCCTCCTGCCTCTACCTCCCCATGGCTGGGATTACAGAAAGATTGGGATTACAGGTGTTCACTATGGGTTTTATGTACTCCTTGGGATCAAACCCAGGTTCTTGTGCATGGTAAGCAAACACTCATCAACTAAGCTACACCCCTAGCCCTTGATTCTGAATTTTTTGTTTTCAAACTTTTCAGGGGCTAGAGAGCTGGCTCAGTGGTTAAGAGCACTGACTGCTCTTGCAGAGGACCCAGGTTCAAATCCCAGCACCCACATGGTGGCTAACAACCTTTTGTCACTCCAGTTCCAGGGGAATCCAATGCCCTCTTTCTGACCTCCACTGGCACCACAGGATGCCGGGGGGCACTTACACACATGCAGACAATACACCCATACACATAAAATAAAATATACAATAAAATATTTTTGAAAAGACAGTGCAAAGCCAGGTGTGGTGGCACACGCCTTTAATCCCAGCACTCAGGAGGCAGAGGCAGGCAGATCTCTGTGAGTTCAAGGCCAGCCTGGTCTACATAGTGAGTTCCAGGACAGCTGGAGCTACAGGGAGACCCTGTCTCAAAAAGACCAAAAAAAAAAAAAGGAAGTGCAATCCATCCAGAGGTTGGAGAGATGGCTCAGGGAATAAGAGCACTGACTGCTCTTGTAGAGGACCCAATTTCTAATCCCAGCACCCACATGGCAGCTAACAACTGCTCATAACTACAGTTCCAGGAGATCCAACGCCCTCTTCTGACCTCCTCAGGCATTGCACGATGTGCATGTACTTACACACATGCAGGAAACACACTCATACACATAAAATAAAAACAATAAATTAAGCCGGACGTGGTGGCACACGCCTGTAGTCCCAGCACTTGGGAGGCAGAGGCAGGTGGATCTTTGTGAGTTCGAGGCCAGCCTGGTCTACACAGTGAGTTCCTGGACAGCTGGGGCTACAGGGAGACCCTGTTTCAAAAAGACCAAAATAAATAAATATTTTTTAAATTCCTTATTTAAAAAAAAAAAAAAGAGCCAGGCGTGGTGGCATACACCTTTAGTCCCAACACTCAGGAGGCAGAGTCAGGTGGATCTCTGCAAGTTCAAGGCCAGCCTGGTCTACATAGTGACTTCCGGGCCAGCGGGGGCTACAGGGAGACCCTGCCTCAAAAAGACCAAAAAAAAGCACAATCCAGACAAACCCAAAAGCGCATTCCGGGCACGCGGTGGATGGAGTCGCACCCACCCTGAGGACTTTCTGGAACTTCACCAGTGCAGCTGGTTAGAGGAAGACATCTGAAGAGGAGGAGACAAGCGCCGCGCGGCTTTAGCGCACTGGGCGGGGCTTCGGGAAGGGGCGTGTGTGGTTTCTGACGTCAGAGGCATGGCCCCGCCTCCCGCGTTGGCGCGGAATTCGAAAGCGCACGGCGGCGGTTGTGGCGGTGGCTGAGGCGCGCGGGGTCGCGGGGTTGCGAGGTCGGGTTCTCGGCCACCATGAGGCACAGAGGCCGCGAGGAGGAGGCGTGCGGCGTGTGGCTGGACGCGGCGGCGCTGAAGAAGCGGAAGGTGCAGGTGGGCGCATGCTGGGAGGCCTAGGCGCGGCTTGGGGGCCGGAGGAGGCGGGGACGGCTGGGGAGGGAGGGCGGCGCGGGGGCGAGAGTTGGGGCGGGGCTAGATGGGGGTGAGTGGGTGGTTGGAAGGGAGGGACTGGAATGTGGGGGATAGGAGATGGAGGGACGGGGGGGCAGGGGGGGAGCGGGGGCGTGGAACTGGGGGCTCCGGGGGAAGCACAGCCTCCTGCCAGCGGCGCGGGCACTGCAAGTGGCCCTCCCCTACTGTGGATTGTGCAGCAGCGGCCACTCCTGATAAATCCGTCAGTTCACACCCACAACCAACATCTTTAGGGGAACAAATATCGAAAATACAGGAAGGGGGTCTGCTCTAGCGTTAAAGGAGCAACCCCCTGGATGCGGGATTCTGGGTGCTGAATTAGGCACATACTGTTCTTCGGATGTGTCATCTTAACACGCCTGAAGGAGCTGAGGTTGACTAACCCATACCCAGGTCCCGAACCTAAACGAGATGCTCCTGAGTCTCCCAACAACAGAAGGATTGAGGTGGTGGTTGGGATTTATTTAGCTTTTTTTTTTTGTTTTTTTGAGACAGGGTCTCCTTGTAGTCCCAGCTGACTTGAACTCACTATGTAGACCAGGCTGGCCTTGAGCTCACAAGGATCCGCCTGCCTCTGCCTCCTGAGTGCTCGGATTAAAGGCGTGAGCCACTACGCCTGGCTTTATTTAGCATTTTATACTGGTCATTGTGTTTAGTGTTTCAGATGTTACCGAGTTTGGTTCAGCTGTATTGTAGACATGTAGACTGATAACGTTTCAGGCATGAAAAGCAAAACAGACAGTAAGGGCAGTACAGTCTTGAGGAAGAAAATGGGGTAGCCAGATAATAGCCATCCCTCGAATTTATTAAGTGCTTACTGTTTGCCGGGCACTTTGCTGGGACTTTGCCTGCCCAGATCAATGCCAAGTACTCACCCAAATTCAATTACGTAGATTCTGTCATTATCCTGGTTATATGGATGAAAAAGTTGAGTTTAGATTAATATACTCAACAAGGGTTAGAGGTGGGTTCTGCTTGTTGGAAGGGCCAGTCCTCCTAACTAGGCAGAGCTATGTCTCTGTAAGTGGTTTTCAAATGTGATTTTTGGAGTCCAGAAAGATTACTGACTTGGGGCTATCAGGACAAATTTAATTAGAGATTTGAGATTTGAATAGATAGAGCAATAGTCTAAAGACCATCTGTTAACCTTTTTTTTTTTTTTTTGATAGTCTCTCTGTAGCCCCAGCTGGCCTGGAACTCACTACATAGAACAGGTGGGCACTGATCTCGTAGAGATCCACCTGCCTCAGCCTCCTGAACTCTGGGATTAAAGGTGTGCATGCCACCATGCCTGGCCTGTTAACCATTTTTGCTGAACAAAAAGTAAGGATTCTTAAAATCATCTTACAACTGAAGTCATTTTTTGAGAAAAAGCGATCACCTTTTTTTCCTCTTAAGAACATTTTTGGAATAGGTGGAATTTGGATCATTGTGTGTGCCGTGAGACATACTTCTGTGTTTCCCCATTCTAGAGGCCTGCACTTACCTATCTTTCCAAAGATAATCTATGCATGTAACAAGCAAACGCATCCTTTTTGTATTTACAGGTAGCATGTTACACGTTGTTTCACACCTGGCCCTCCTCACTTACCTCTTAGGAATCCTGTTTTCATGCTGTGTAATGCTACGTATATAGGATACTGTTCGTTGTATGTATGCTGTTCTGCTCATGCTGCCATAACAAAATACCATGGGCTAGGGGGTTAAAAAATGACAAATGCGTGTTGTCATTTCTGAGGGCTGGAAGTCTTGAGATCAAGGTGTCACCATAGTCCTGTTCCTATGCGGGGTTTCCTCCTGGCCAGCTCAGTCACCTGCTCCTCGTGTTTTTAGGTGGCGTTGTGGTGTGATTGGTATCTGAAAGGGGTAGCAGTCTTAAGGACTGAGCCTTTAACCTATGGGATCTGACACGATCTGTAGGTGGCAGTGTCAGAACTGAATTGAATTAGAAGACAGTAGTGTTTGCTGCCGGGGTCTTTTTTTAGGTGTGAGGAGAGAAGCCCAAATACATAGTGTGCAGTGTCCAAAAGCACATTTCAGCCTCCAGAGAACAATGAAGATTGTCACAGGCTGGAGAAGCCTGTGTCTTCTAGAGTGGTTATCAGAGTGGCACAGGGCAGAGCTGCCTGCCAATGCTTTGGAAAACGCCTCTTCCTCTTGATCCTCAAACAAAACTTTTGGGGAGAATGAGGGTGTCTTGTGTTTGGCCAGCAGACAATAGATACCTATATTTGGAATGAGTTTGCATCTTCTCTCTTCTCACACCACAAGTATGCACTTTGGCCTTGCTACCTAGGCTTTGATATAGAGGATCATGGTTGTTTTGTTTTTGTTTTTGGTCTTTTTGAGACAGGGTCTCCCTGTAGCTGCAGCTGGCCTGGATTCGCTAATGGAGACCAAGCTGGCGTCGAACTCACAGAGATCCACCTGCCTCTGCCCCCCAAGTGCTGGGGGTGCGCCAACATGCCTGGCTTTTGTTTTTTAATTTAAAAAGTATCTAAACCAGGCGTGGTGGCACACACCTTTAGTCCCAGCACTCAGGAGGCAGAGGCAGGCAGATCAGAGTTCAAAGCCAACCTGGTCTACATACTGAGTTCCAGGCCAGCTGGGGCTACAGGGAGACCCTGCCTCAAAAAGAACCCCCCCAAAGTTATGCAAATGTGGTCTCTTTCAGACTGCCACAGAGAGAGTAGCATGCACACTGTAAATACATTGGGTAACGAGATGATTATTCATGTCCTGCTGAAGTGGGACTGTTTGGAAATTCACAGTGATACTCAGAATGACAGTTTAAACCTTAAATTGTTTGTTTCTGGGATTTCCATTTCCTGTTTTGGACCTCAATTGCAATAGTAACTGAAACAACTGAAAGCGGACCTTGAGTAAGGAAGCTGCTTTTCACATGGGACTTTAAGCAAGTGTTTGCTCTGCTGCTCAGTTCCACCAAGTAGATGGAGAACCTTCCATGGAAGTCTTTCAAGTTTTGTAACAGTATGGGAATTTTTTTGTTTTGTTTTTTTGAGACAGGGTCTCCTTGTAGCCACAACTGACCTGGAATTCAGTATGTAGACCAGGCTGGTCTTGAACTCACAGAGATCCACCAGTCTCTGCTTCCGGAATGCTGGGACTAAAGGTGTGTGCTACCACGCCTGGCAATATGGGATTTTTAAAAGGCTATTTTATATGATTTTCAAATTTCGTATTTTTACTGTGCTTGCTACCTCAGTATAAAAACATTGAAGGAGCCGGGCGTGGTGGCGCACGCCTTTAATTCCAGCATTTGGCAGGCAGAGGCAGGCAGATCTCTTTGAGTTCAAGTCCAGCCTGGTCTACATAGTGAGTTCCAGGACAGCTGGGGGCTACAGGGAGACCCTGTCTCAAAAAGACCAAAAAAAACCAAACGAAAAAAAAAACCAAAAAACAAAACATTGAAGGGCTGGAGAGATGGCTCGGTAGTTAAGAACACTGGCTGTTCTTGCAGAAGACCCAGGTTTGAATCCCAGCACCCATGTGGCAGCTAATAACTGTCCGTAACTCCAGTCCAGGGGATCTGACAGCCTCTTCTGTCCTCCACAGGCATTGCATGACACAGGTGCACTTATCTACATGCAGGCAGTACACACATACACATAAAATAAAGATAAAATATTTTTTTTTAAATTGAGCTGGGCGTGGTGGTGCACGCCTGTAGTCCCAGCACTTGGGAGGCAGAGGCAGGCGGATCTCTGAGTTCAAGGCCAGCCAGGTCTACAGCCTGGTCTCTGAGTTCCAGGTCAGCTGGGGCTACAGGGAGACCCTGTTTAAAAAAAAAAAAAAAAAAAGAAGAAAAAAATTGAAAAATACCTTCTTAGCTTTTCCCAATCTTTTTTACTTTGTATGTGTGTATACACCCTGTGAGCCCTTAGAAAAATATAACAAGTTTTGTTCCTGCATATTAGAGAGGTAAAACACATTTAAGATGTGATTAATGGAGCTGGAGAGACAGCTCAGCGGTTAAGAGCACTGACTATTCTTGCAGAAGACCCAGGTTCTAATCCCAGCAGCCACATGATGGCTAACAACTACCCATAACTCCAGTTCCAGAGGATCCAACACCCTCTTCTGTCCTAGGGCATTGCATGACATGAGTGTGCTTACATACATGCAGGCAATACAGTCATGTATTAAATAAAAATTTTTTTTAAAAGATATGACTGATAGGTGGCTGGAGAGAGATCTTGCACTTACTTGAGAGGACACAGGTTTGGTTCCCAGAATCCACAGAGCAGCTAATAAGTAACTCCAGTTCCAGGTGATCTGACATCTTCTTCTGGTCTTTGAGGGTTCCTGCATGCATGTGGTACATTTAAAGTCACACAGGCAAACAAACCTTTTAAAAATGTGATTAATATATTTTCTCTCTTGGTTGTATTACATTTAAATGTTATCATTAAAGAAATTTCTGGGGCTGGAGAGATGGCTCAACAGTTAAGAATACCGGCTATTCTTGCAGTAGACCCAGGTTCGAATCCCAGCACCCACATGGCAGCTAACAACTGTCTGTAACTCCAGTCTTAGGGGATCTGACAGCCTCTTCTGACCTCTGTGGGCATTGCACGGCATGGGTGCACTTACCTACATGCAGGCAGTACACACATACACATAAAATAAAAATAATAAAAATTTTTAAAAAATTCTATTCACTTACAATACAGTTTAGTTTCTTACCCTTGAAATAAATAATAGAAAAGGACAAATGGGCATGATTAAGAGAATGGAACTGAGGTGGTCCCACAAATCTTGACTGAGTCATCCTTGGTGTCCAGGCCAGTGTGGTAGAACACTGAATGCCATTCTGATGTTTGGCAAATTTACCACCAGATTCTCAGCACTGTCCTTTCAGATGTCCTTTAGAATTCTTTTTATTCCCCTCCCTTCCCCATCAGTTTTTTTTTCTTGGATTGAACCTAGGGCCTCACTGAATCTAGAGCCTCCTGCTTTTTAAAAAATACTTTATTTTTATATTTTTATTTATGTGTATGAGTGTATAGCCTGCATGCATGTAAGTGCTGGAGGTCAGAAGAGGGTGTCAGATGCCTGGAACTGGAGTTAGGGACGGTTTTTAGCCACCATGTGGGTACTGGGAATTGAACCTCGGTCCTCTGCAAGAGCAGCCAATACTCTTAACTGCTGAGCCATCTCTCCAGCCCTGAGCCTCCTGATTTGTATCTAAGCCTTCTCCCATTCAGCTGTATCCCCAGCTGCATCCTTCTTTCCCCTTAAGACAAGGTCTCACTATGTTCCCAAAGTCAGAATTCTCCTGCCTCAGCTTCCCAAATGCTGGGGTGGGATTGTAAGCATATGCCCCCATGCCTAGTTTAGTCACTTTATTTACTGCCCTCTGCTCAGTGAAATTTAGTCCCATCTCCCCATACAAATCAGAAGAATCTTTTAAGGCTCTTGAGCGCCATTTGGACATGCATGCACTGTTCAGACTTCATCTGGGCTGTTTCCTCTGCTTCACTCTGCTCCAGCCATGCAGACCTCCTTAGTGTTCTTTAGGTAAAGTTTACCTCTGCCTGGCGCTTAGAGATTAGTTACACATTCTATTCTTCATGTGTTCAGATCCCAGTTTATCAGTGAGTTCTTCCTTAGCCTCCCCAAATAGAAGCCTACCCCTCACCCCTATGCCTTACACGCTCTTTCTACCCTGTTTGTGTTTCGTTTTTCATCAGAGCACTTTCCACCTTCAAACAATATGCTATATATTTAACTTGCCTTTTTTTGGGGGGGGTGTTTTCTTTTTGGTAAATGAAAGTTCCATCGGATAGTCTTTCAGGCTACTCAGTAAATAGCAGATGAGCAACTGAACAAACCCTTTGGGCTTTGCTTTCTCCATTACCATTGTAATGGCTTAGTCTCTTTTTCACTCTAGTGATAGAATGAGTGGGAGGACTTGAGTTTTCAGTGTGACAATAGTCTGGAGACCTCCAGGAAAGTGGCTGTTAAAGTTACTTAACATCCCTCCTTTCTGTTACTATCCAAATTATTTGTTTTAAAAGAGATTTTATTTATTTGTATTTTAATGGGTATGACTGTTCTGCCTGCATGTATGTTAGTGCATCTCATGGGTGTGGTGCCTCATGGAGGCCAAAAGAGGGCATTGGATCCTGGACTTGGAATTCATTGGAATTGGAGTTAGGATAGTTGCTAGTCACCATCTGGGTGCTGGGAACTGGGCCCCCTCTGCAAGACCAACCAGTGTTCTTAACTGCTGAATCTCTCTAGCCCCCTAAATTATTTTCTAAAAATAGAGAAGAACAGCTTATGTAACACCAAGCACAAGGCACAGAGGATGCCACATAGTGATGGTCGAATTAAGAGTCCTTTAATAGCAGGAGGTTGAGAGTGGGCTAACTTACCAAGAGAACTCTTGACCCTGAAGAGAAGCAGAGCAGGGTTTATAATGCTTCAAACCACAATTATAGCCGGGCGTGGTGGCACACACCTTTAATCCCAGCACTTGGGAGGCAGAGGCAGGGGGATCTCTGTGAGTTCAAGGCCAGCCTGGTCTACATAGTGAGTTCCAGGACAGCTGGGGCTACAGAGAGACACTGTCTCAAAAAGACCCCCCCCCCAAAAAAAGAAAAACCACACACACACAAAACCCCCACAATTATATAATACCAGGGGCAAAGCGAGTAACCATAGTTACATCAGATCACCATCATTACACCAGACCAGGGGTAGGTCAGGTAACAAAGAGGTTTTCAGATAACAAAAAGTTTAAGTCTTGGTTAGAAAAATCAAGTTTCTCAGAATTGCAGAACCAAAGGACTCCATGGAGTTGCAGGTGTAGGTGGGAGAGAAGCTCTGCCTGGCTAGTTGTAAGTCTCCCAGTATTGTAGAAACAACATTCCCCTGAAACTTGTCTATACCAGGCCATTCTGCCTGCCTAGCTGCAGGGGCAGTGGTTGGGCAGAAACACAGCGTGAAGCAAAAGTTAGCTAGACTAAAATGGAGTCAGTTTTGCCATTTCCCTATTAAAACTGCAAAGATTTAAAAATAATGAAATCCAAAATGGCAGCACCCAGTAGGCTATATACTGCAAGACACATCGGGATCTAGACCTTTAACTTAGCAAGTCTTACAAGTTGATATCATCGTGGCATCTGTTTCAGTTACAAGTTACACTTTCTCTAGAAAGCAAGCCTCGGTTATCCTTGGACAACAGTTTCTAGGTCTACATCCCTGGAGTTCCCGGTGTGGTCAATCCAGATACCTGCCTTACACAGTTGTTCTCTGGCGATCAGTTCCCTCTGGGACAGCTAGCTGTAGCCTACCTGACTGGCTTGAGGGACAGCTAGATGTGACCTACCTGACTGCCTGGTGACTCATACCCCACACGGACTGTGTGGTAATTGTGTGGCCTCCTGGAACTTGTTCTGCATTGCTTTAAATCTACCAATTAAAACTCTCCAAGGAAAATGTTTGGATAATGTCTTGGACTTGTTGTAAAGGTACTGTTCTATGAGTCCCTCGGTCACAGTTTTGGGATTGTAGTCATATACTTTCTGTTACCCAGCAAAGAATAAAAGCAACCTTCTTTCCCTCTCCCGTCCCTCCCCTCCCCTCTCCTTTCCTTTTCCCTTGCCTCCTTCCTCTCCCCTCTCAGCCTGGCCCCTGACTTCCTGTGTAGCTGAGGCGCTGAGGATGACCTTGAACCTCCACTGCCATCTCCCAAATGTTGGGATTACTGGGATTACACACACACACACACACACACACACACTCCCTCCCTAGCTAGCTCATAGTCCTGCTTTCTTCAACTGAACAAAGTGAGTGTTTAGTAGATCCCTGAAGCCAGAGGAATTGTAAGAGACCTGTAACTGGGACAGTATCATGTCTGATGTCACTCTGAACTTCCTTCAGCTCCTGCCAGATATGACCAACTTATTCTCAGATGTTTTGCCTGTTGAGGTCTTACTGTTTTCTGACCTTGTAGTTTTCTGACAAGTTTCTCTATAGGATTTAGCATATGGGTAGTAACTCTTAATAGCCTGTTTTCTCTCTCAAGCTGTAAACTTGACCAGTAGAGAGAGTCTCTTTGGTTCATTTGTACTTCCATACCCTGCATATAGATAGATACTCAAATATTATTTACAATATATCATGTATTTAAGAGGTGATTCCCATAAAATTTAAAGACCCACATGCACTTGCAAGCTTGGGCTTCTATATGAGATGTTGGCCAGGTTCCAAGACTGTGCATCTGGTCCATTGATCTGGCATTTGCCACTACCCTGCTGTGTTTATTTCCCTCTTTATGGTTCTCCTAAGAGAACTTGAAATCTGGCATTACTCTTAACCAGGCTGGCTTTACTCTCTGCACCTGCCTCCTGAGTACTGGCACTAATGTCGTGCACCCCCATGCTTGGTTTATTTTTGTTTTGTATATTTTGCCTTCATGTATTTAAGTGCACATGTACCTGAAGTGCATGCCAAGGCCAGAAGAAGGTGTTGGATCCCCTGGAACTGGAGTTACAGACAGTTGTTAGCCACTATGTGGGTGCTGGGAATTGAACCTGGGTCCTCTGCAAGAGCAGCCAGTGCTCTTAACTGCTGAGCCACCTCTCCAGCCCCTCTAGCATTACTCACTTTGCTCCATGTTGTTTGGCTATCCAAGGTCTTTCATGGTTCCAAGTGAATTTTAAGATTGGTTTCTCTAATAGGAATGATG